GACAAAAGATAATTAATTGTAAGAGTAGTTAAAGTATGTAGAGACTGTCAAAGATAAACTTATATGGACTTAAATCTTGGTTGACATTTTTTTTATAAAATCTGATGGCATGCAGCATGTACAGTGCACATGCTAAATTTCACAGACTGCCATCTCATGTAAACCAAAATGTACTGTCTGTCCACATTAAGAACATTTTGACAAGTAGGTCAAAGGTTAAGTTGGTCACCAGATTGGTAATTTTGATATTTGTGAAGCCACATTGCCAAGCAGTATCTTAGGTTCTTAAGGTATAGGTGGAACAGATGGATGAACAGTTAGACAGACAGATGCTAAGTAAAATAATCCTCAGGTTTTGCTTTGCTCTTCAGACAACTCAAAAATTAAAAAAAGGGTGAAGGGAGAGTCCATAACCCAAGTGCCTGAGCTACATTTAGGGTGGAGGTATTACTATAATTCTTTGATTCACATCTAAAAAGTGTCCCTAATGCAGTTTTTTTTTTTTTTAAATGCCGAGATTTTTTTTAGAATTAATTTAGGTATATACCAGGTTTTTAAGAGAGAGATATTAACCCTATGCCAGAATGTTCAGAAAATTGCTTTTAAGATTTAGCTTCCTGAAGTATTTTCTCCCACTACTGGTATTAATTCAAACTTGGGTCCAAAACCCCAGGTAAATCATCTATAGTCTTATACAGACGTAATGGATGTCTGACTCAACTTAATTTCAGAATGCCTTTCATGGACCACTTTACAAGTTTGGGAAGCTGCTGTACATACAGATGATTCACTTTCTTTAGTAAAGAGAGAGAATCACAAAAGAACAGTTTACCAAGGCTGGCAAGGGCTACTAAACTCTACGATGAACCCTCACAGCTGCAGTACTACTTCAAACTTTTTGCCAGTGGAAAGGATCACCTTACTAAGGAAGGTAGGAATCAATTTTTTTCCCCTCATCATTTTGTAGTTTATGCAAATGATGATTATGATTGCAGATTACAAGGTAAAGTTAATTTTTTAGCTACCTGAGCTGAAAGCTCAAGTGAGCTTTTCTGATCACATTTTGTCCGGGTCCGTTTCTGTCTGTCCGTCTAGCTGTCCGTCTGTCTGTAAACTTTTCACATTTTCGACTTCTTCTCAAGAACTGCTGGGCCAATTTCAACCAAACTTGCCACAAAGTATCCTTGGGTGAAGGGGATTCAAGTTTGTTCAAATAAGGGCCCCCCTCATTCAAGGGGGAGATAATTGGGAATAATTGAAAATTTGGTGGCATATTTCAAAAATCTTCTTCTAAGAACCACTGTGCCAGGAAAGATGAAACTTTAAAACATCCTCAGGTAGTGTAGATTAAATTTTAAAATCATGACCCCGGGGTAGGGCGGGGCCAAAATGGCCGACCAAAGTTTTGCATAGAAATATATAGGAAAATTCTTTAAAAAACTTCTTAAGAATGACAAAGCCATAATTCATCATATTTATATGGAAGCATGCTCAGGTAGTGTAGTTCAAATTTTTCAAATATACCCCCGGGGGGAGGGCGGGGCCAAAATGGCCGACCAAAGTTTTACATAGAAAAATATAGGAAAATTCTTTAAAAATCTTCTTCTCAAGAATGACAAAGCCATAATTCATCATAGTTATATGGAAGCATGCTCAGGTAGTGTAGATTCAAGTTTGTTCAAATCAGGACCCCCGGGGGGAGGGCGGGGCCAAAATGGCCGACCAAAGTTTACCATAGAAATATATAGGAAAATTCTTTAAAAATCTTCTTCTTAAGAATGACAAAGCCATAATTAATCATATATATATGGAAGCATGCTCAGGTAGTGTAGATTCAAGTTTGTTCAAATCATGACCCCCGGGGGGAGGGCGGGGCCAAAATGGCCGACCAAAGTTTTACATAGAAATATATAGGAAAATTCTTTAAAAATTTTTTCTAAGAATGACAAAGCCATAATTCATCATATTTATATGGAAGCATGCTCAGGTAGTGTAGATTCAAGTTTGTTCAAATCATGACCCCCGGGGGTAGGGCGGGGCCAAAATGGCTGACCAAAGTTTTACATAGAAATATGTGGGAAAAACTTTAAAAATCTTCTTTCAAGAATGACAAAGCCATAATTCATCATATTTATATGGAAGCATGCTCAGGTAGTGTAGATTCAAGTTTGTTCAAATAATGACCCCCCGGGGTAGGGCGGGGCCAAAATGGCCGACCAAAGTTTTGCATAGAAATATATAGGAAAATTCTTTAAAAATCTTCTTCTCAAGAATGACAAAGCCATAATTTATCATATTTATATGGAAGCATGCTCAGGTAGTGTGATTTAAGTTTGTTCAAAATGACCCTATGGGGAGGGGGGCCAAAAAGCCCAAACCCAAAATTTTCAAAGATATATAAAGGAAAATTTTTAAAAAATCATTTTCTAAAAAAATTGCAAATCCATGATTGGTCATTGGACTACTTTTGGATTTAAACTTTACAATAAAAACCATTTTCTACTTTTTCCAACCCTAAGTGCTAAGGTGAGCGATGTGGCCCATGGGCCTCTTGTTAGTTAATGGGACACTATCATGAAAAAATGGTTATTCTTTGCATTGTTCTATATGGCACTTTTTAGCTCACCTCAGCTGAAAGTTGTGAGCTAAATTATTCAAAATCATGGACTCTATGGGCATGGTGGGCTTATGAATCTCATATTATTAAGATATGTTTAATAAGTACCTGTAATGTATGTATTTACTTTCTTAACAATAATTGAATATAATGCCCTATGACAATGTTGTTTATTTATATAGATGCCCTACAGATGATTGCTGTGTCATATGCCCTGACCCTGTCAGCTTCTATGATTCCTTACTCCACAGGCAGCACAGATGACTCATTGTTTGAGGGGGTGGTGCAAGGAATGGTAAGGTTGATCTCCTCAAAATCACATTCACTTTTCCTGGATTTTTGGTTAAGAATTAAACATTATAGAACATGTATTAGATTATCTGTTAAAGATTTGGAAAATTCTTACGTAGGGAAGTTTGATTTTGCAAGCTATCTGAAAATTTTATCGGTCCTATATTCCTAAATGTCTTGTACCCCTGGTAAATAAATACAATTTACAAAACCCATTCTTGTAGAATTGAGTTAATATGAACACTAAAGCTGTATTTTGTACTTTCAGTTTGGGATAAATGAGAGGGTTACATTTGATGATTTCACCTCCTGGTCCAAGAAGAATAGTCCTCATCTGTTCTGTGGGGTACATAACTGGGTGTACCAGATCCTCACTGGGTCCAAGATGCCATCTGAATTGGTAAGTTAAAACAAAAGTCTGTGTCTTCACCTGACAATTATAATCACAACTAGATGAGATCTCGTTGCGAGCAACGGGTAGGTCTTCCGTTGAATTTCTCGATGAGATGTGATTTTGACTGAGATATTCGTTAAAAGAGAATGACATTAAGTTTTCCTTCATTAAATTTAAAAATTTCTCATTTTTATAAGGGTATTCTGAACATCTTTTTTTCAATAAGGCTTATAAAAATATTCCCCCTTTTTGAGACATAAAGCATAAAAAATATAGCATTTTGGTCCCTTGCGACCCATAATTACGTAACATATGATCAAAATGTTATCATATATTGTTGCAAATCGTTAAGATGAATACTTTTGCCCCAATAATGTATAACAAAATATTGATCATTAGAGAGTTATAGATAAAAGAATTTTGGCCCCTCTGAGCCCCTAATTTGAGGGGTCAGCCCCTTTTTCTTAATATCAAATGAAAGGTCTTGTGATTTTGAAAATTTTTTGTTCAACACTTATTCAGAGATTTCTTTTTGTTGTGGAGATATGATTCATATAAATATTTAGGGGCCACCCCTACATGTCCTTAATGGGGCCATTTTACAAAAATTCAGAGTATGCATATTGTTGAGAACATTACCCTGACCAACTGTTGTTCAATATTACTTATCAAGTTATTCCCCGTTTTTGATATATAAAGCGTCAAAGATTTGACATTCTAGCCCCTTGAGGCCCCTAATTACGTAACGTATGATAAAAATATTATCATATATTGTTGCAAATCGTTAAAATGAAGACTGTTGCTTCAGTAATGTATAACAAAATAATGATCATTAAAGAGTTATAGATAAAAGACTTTTGGCCCCTCTTAGCCCCTTATTTGAGGGGTCACCCCCTTTTTCTTGATACCAAATAAAAGTTCTTTAGATTTTGAAGATTTTTTGTTCTACACTAATTCAGAGATTTCTTTTCGTTGTGGAGATATGCTGAATGGAATAATTTAGGGGCCACTCCTACAAGTCCTTAATGGGGCCGTTTTACAAAAATTCAAAGTATGCATATTGTTCAGAACATTACTCTGACCATCTTTTGTTCAATATTGCTTTTCAAAATATTCCCCCTTTTGAGATAAAAAGCGACAAAGATTTGACGTTCTGGCCCCTTGTGACCCCTAATTATGTAATATATGATCCAAATATATATATCCAAAATCATATATTGTTGCAAATCGTTCAGATGAATACCTTTGCTTCTGTAATGTATCACAAAATATTGATCATTAAAGAGTTAAAGATGAAAGAATTTTGGCCCCTCTGAGCCCCTAATTTGAGGAGTCAGCCCCTTTTTCTTGATTTCAAATTAAAGGTCTTCTGATTTCAAAGACTTTTTGTTCAACACCTATTCAGAGATTTCTTTTCGTTTGGGAGATATGATGAATGGAAATATTTAGGGGCCACCCCTCTAAGTCCTTAATGGGGCCATTTTACAAAAATTCAAAGTATGCATATTGTTTAGAATATTATTCTGACAATCTTTTGTTCAATATTGCTTATCAAAATATTCCCTCTTTACAAGATATGAAGCGTCAAAGATTTAGCATTCTGGCCCCTTGTAACCCCTAATTACGTAAGATATGCTTAAAAGTTCATAATATATTGTTGCAAATGGTCTAAAATTAAAATATATCGAAAAATCTAGCAGAAAAAGTGATAAAATTTTTTGGACACACGGGGGATCGAACCCGGGTCGCCCGCGTGACAATCCAACGCGCTAACCATTTAGCCATTGGGATCGCCGCTTTGAGTTTTCAAATGCAAATATCTCGAGATTGGCTTTTTCGATTTTCAAACAAATTACATATTTCACTTCTGCAAAAGAGTCTCTATTCAATTCTGAAACAAAAATATTAAAAAAGAAAAGTTGAAAAATTGCGTTTTTTAAATTCGCTTCAGGTATCGACCGGAAGCATTGACGACGCACGAAAAGGCAATTCTGCAATGCTATAAATCATGAACTATCATCTCCAATTAATCTTCAGTTCATATCTCAACCAGTTTTCGCTACTAAATCAAGACAAAATTGCATTTTAAAAATAAGAAAATTGTCCATATCTCACGACCGGAAGTGACGGCGTCAACGAAAAAAATTTCCAACAAGGTTCAGATCAGTACCTATCAGATGTAAAAGTTTCATGAGAATCGGCCCAGTAGTTTACGAGAAATTGCATGCACAAAATCGGTAATAATAATAATAATAATAGGGAAAAAGAAACCGAAGAATAACAAGAAGGTCTTCCGTTGGAGACGGAAGACCTTAATAAAGGTGGTTTATATTTATGCAGGGCATTGAGTATGCATTAAGTACAAGGTTCTTAATTCTAAGCTTGTCTAAAAAGCTTTGATATTTTATCCTTAATATGTAGGGAAATTTTAAGCTGCTGTCAACTTACCATATAACTAATTTTACAGTGTAAAAAATCAGAGGTCTTTGGTCCGTTTAATGATTCTGGGCTGTTATTATTTTAAAAAATACTGTAGATTCATAATTATACATGAGAAATTAATTATTGCATAAGTTTTTGAGAAACACCTCTCCTGAACTAAAATTACTTTTATTTTTAAAGTGTTGAAATCCATGAAAAATCTCTTGATCAGTTGTCCACTCACAATTTTAATATTGTCCTCCTGATTTGACATTAAAGAGACATTTTGTAATAATAAGAACTCAAAAAATAAGGAATCTACAGTAGTTA